TTATCTACAATAAGTCAATGCGCAATATAACATGCGACGTTTAATCTTAAAAATAATTGTTTAAACTGTATTATATCTATTTTTCATGTAAGATAATGTGGTTAAAAATTGGCAAGCCACATAATCCGGAAATACTTACATATAAAGATAATGTTTATTTACCATCGAAAATTATTCTGGATATTCGACGTATGGGTTCAATATCAAATGGCAATTTAACCGATTTTTATATTGTTATTTTAACACTTATTCGTACTCATGTCGATGACGAAGGACGTTATTTATGTATTAAACAAAAACAAGTGTTTGCCGCTTATGACTTACAAATAATCGGTAAATAAATATCTACCTGATGACACTTTTCTGACTACAAAACAATAGTGAGCATCGAGTTTTGTTTTATTAAGTTCCTCCACACTTTATTGATGATGGCTATTCGAATCAACGAATCGTTCTTGATGGTGCGTCATTATCTTTAACATGTAATGCAAACGGTCGACCAAAGCCAAACGTTACGTGGTATTATCAACGTTTTGATGGGCAATTTCAGTTTCGTAAGTTTAATATACCATTTGTGGCCTACAGTCGTGTTTTCACTAAATCCAGAATTACTAAATTATAGTGTCGGATTTAAGGTCTTCTGTTCCCATATTTTTAATAAATATGGTCTAGACTATCTATCGTTTTCAGCAAGTCATGAGTTTGAAAACTTTCTAAAAACTTTTACTAGAAATTTTCGTTCGTTTTTACGAGATATAATGTTATATGTACCCATTTTTTCAAATATCTGTGCATTGCCATCTATAGCTCAATTTTTCTTTCTTTGTTGACTTAACATTGAACCGTAGCAAATTTAGTTTTTGCTAGTATTTCATCTGACGAGTGATGCTATCATAACAATAAAATGTTTACCTATAAAAAAAAACAGCTAAAAAATGCTCTTAACTATAGAGTTATATATAACAAAACTCATCTAAATCTATGATGGCTTTGAACAACAAAATTGTTCGCTCTCTTAATCTCGAGAAAATCTTATTAACTTTGATTTTTCCGTACTGTAATGGGAAGAAGTAAAAAGCATTTATTAGCGCCACTTATTTGTGTAGACGATTTGTTCGGACTTCAACAGCAACTTTGGGGGAAGATAAACGAGACAAACTTATATATAGTATATTTGTATAGTTCATCATTTTGAGAAAAATGATTAGAAATATAAGTGCGTGCTTAACAAGTGACAGAAAACTCCTATTCAACCAATACATTCTCTCTCTCTCTTTCTCTTTCTCTCACACACACACTCTCGATTTAACAATTAATTTGCTGTAGAGAAGATGAAAAGATTACTTCGGTCGAATGATCTCATAGAATAAGCGAAAAATATTTATGGTCAGTCAACGAATTTGCCTAAGCGTCAACTTAGTTAGTAATCGTAAATTATTAGTGCTACCTCCTGCAGGTATTGAAGAGCAATGAATATTAAATATCGTTAGTCATCTTGCAATTATTATCTTATTCTGTAACTTTGTTTGCGCTTTCTGTTCTCTATCAAGTCTCCCTGTATAAATGTGTATATGTCTGCCAGCTTGGAAAAGATGATAGAAGAATAAGTGTTCCTCACATAATTATTGTCACTAAAAACTAAAAAGAAAGAAAAGAAAAGATTGTAAAATGTTTTGTTTTCTGTTGTTCAATTAGACTTACAAGGAAAAATTGACACGAGCAAAAACGAATAGAAAGAAGAGTTTAAATGAGACAATGGGCAAGAAAAGTGAAGCACAAGTGTTGGACAATTCGACACAAGTGTGTTTGATAAAAATTCTAATTTCTCTCCCACACAGTTATGTCTGTCAAAAAACTGGTCGCTAACTATAACCAAAGAAAAGACTACCTACAGCTTTTCGAATTTCGTACGATTAACTTGATAAACGAAAATATCTGTTCGGGAACTTTCGTAGTATTGATCTAGTTTTCCACAGATCTCTTTAAAGACAACTCATGCAAAGAATTTCGAAAAGCTTTTTCCTTACAATTTATGTCTTCCGTTGTTGGATCTCGAACGGTAAAACTGAATGTCTCTATTGTCTTTCTTTCAAACATTATTGAAAAAACAGTGATGTACCTTTTAATGTGTAATCGATAATGCAATTACGCTGAAAATTGTACAAATGTTTAATGTACCCTTGAAAAGTTTCACGAATCTAATTCTCTCACATTTCGATTAGGTCAAGCAGACTTTGTATATGTTTCTCGAAGTGCCCGCGATACTGTCTCCTGATCTCGAATATATATTATTGCTTTTGCTCTTAAATTTTTTTCATCAATGGAAAAGTAACATCTTTCCTAAAAACACCTTTTCTGTATCATTTTCTTGTCTTGGCTTAGCGTACAAGGAAAAACAAATAATACAGTTGTGCACAGGTATGCAGTTAACTGTACTTGAAGAATGTCTGTATTGTTAAAAATGTATGCAGATCGTAGAAGACTAATTTACTCTAGAATATTTGCCTACAGTTATGAGCAGTTATGGTTCTACAGTTTTACCGTTAACTGTAACTGATGCATGCCTAGTTGTGCATCGAACCGTAAACAGTGTTTACGAAGAAAAATATTTTTAATTGTTAGACATTTCACATCATGTTTTCAAATTTTTTCCATGCAGATCTAAAGACTTGAAAATAGCATGGTCAGACGCGTCTTGCCTTGGACTATTTTACCCTCTAATATCAAGTTAATCGCACAAAATTCGGTAAACTGAAGATAGTCTTCTCTCCAGTTATACTTAGCGACCAGTTTTTTTGACAGGCATAACTGTGTGAGAGAAATTGAGAAATTAGAATTTTTATCAAACAGACTTGTGCCGAATTGTCCAGCACTTGTGCTTCACTTTTCTTGCCCATTGTCTCATTTAAACTCTTCCTTCTCTTCATTTTTGCCATGTAAAGTATTTTTATGAAATGTTTTTAGAAAGTTTTTAATTAATCGGTAATTGTCTGATTTATTTCAATATTCGTTTATTGTAGTGCAAGATGGTAATTGTGTCGAAGAATTATGTACATTAAATCTCTACAATTTCACTAGACAGAATCCGTATATTATCGAATGTATTGCTGATAATGGAAAAACTTCAAGAATATCGAAACGATACAATATCGATGTTCATTGTTCGTACAATATTTTTCTTTCGAAATCACTCTTCTGTTCTTAGTAAATAGAATTAATTAATAAACTCTGTTTTAGATCCTCCAAAATTGACAACGATAATTCGAACATTTCGTCGCTTAACATCGGTCGATATTCTTTTGCAATGTACAAGTGAAGCAAACCCACCAGGCTCAGTTTATTGGTTCCTTAGTGACAATCAACCGATTCTGTCTAATCATTATGTTTATACAATCAACAATGAAAATAGCTGGCCAAATAGTTCATCGAAACTATCTTTCACCGTTGTAGGTTATGAGTCATTGTTTTTATATTCATTTTGTCTCTAACAATACTACTACCATTTAGCATCAAAATAATTCCATTTCTTCGTATTCTTACTATTGTCGATCGAATAATTCATACGGCACTGCTCAAAAACTGATCAATATTTCAGGTTAGTTATCTAAAACAACGATTTTTATCGCACTTATTTGAATAAAAAAACATATTTATTTTTTAGATTTTATCAAATATAATCTACCCGACAATGACTTTCAGTTCTCCTCAACTATTTTTGAAATACCAGCAAAAACTAAATTGTCATTTAAAAAAAACCGAACAAGATTAAGGCTACACAGTACGTTAATCTTTATCTTAACTAAATTAATATGCATGCATTTATGTTATACATACATTTCAGATAAAATAGATCGTGATAAAACTATTAAATACACTCGATCTGAACAACCAGTCAGTTCATTAGCTTACACCAGTTGGTCACCTGTTTTTACAAATCAAATAACAATTTATTTAACTGTATGGATATTTTTGTTTAAAAAGTTTTTTGGTAGTATGTTTTTGATAACTTGACGATGATAAATTTCATTTTAATATTTGTATACTCTGTTAAAAATAAAAATCTGTTAAATGAGCGAGCATTTTAGAGACGAATTATGAATTGATCAAAAAACTTAATAACATTGATAATCCATCTCTTCCCTCCTTTCTTTTCTATTCTCATTTGATAGAGTATACAAAGCACACCCCGAAACGAATTAAGAAATTCTTAATCTATTCGATCCGATTTGGGCCAGTTCAATGAAAATTAAAATTTGCTTCTCTTTTGTTTCCAAACGTTTGTTTAAAATATACTGCCTCGAGTTGGAACACTTGAGCAGAACATATCAGTTATGTGCCTAAAACTTTGAAATATGAAATAAAACAAAATAAACAACAAGGAGAAGAAATTAAATATATTCTTAAATTTAATTAAAAAATTAAATTTGATTCGGTTCAGTTTGACTCCACGTTTCAAAGATCGAATCGAAAAGAACCGAACCAAATGCCGAACAATTCGATTCGTTTCGGGCTCTGATACAAAGTCATACATAGGAGTCCAAGCTTTTAGACTTTGGAATTTCAAATCTCAAAACAACCCTGTTATTAATTGTTTACGATAAGTCTCACTAAAAATTAATCAGAAATTAACCTTTTAACTTCTTCGCTTCTATTCTCTATCATAAAGTTTAACCAAACACACTTTTCCGTTGATCAATGACTCGTATTTACAAAAACAGTTTGTAAACCATCCAGTAACATCTGTCCACATAAATTGTAGTCACTGTCGGTTTTAGATTAAAGACATTAATTAGAAAGCGAGTTAAAAAAGACAAATCTTCGCCCTGATGTGTTGTGACTCGCATACTCTTTTTTATGCACATGTTAACGGAAGAGTTCTTGACCCCATCATGTTTGTTGATGAGAACCAGCAGAAAGAAACGGTTATTGTTTAATATTAACTACGCCTTTTATCTTCTTTGTAAACAGTGTAAAATCGAAAATATTTGTGACTATTTTTATAAATAACAACTATCTATGGCTAGTTCGGTACATTCTAGTTACATTCGATATCTGTATGAAGAAATTGTCAATTCAGTCAATGCAGTAGAAGATAAATTCGAAGAAACACTCAATGATTGAAGAAAGTACATTTCATTTCATCCATATGTACAGCAGATAGATCTACGTTAAGTGAGATTAGTTTTTTCAAAATATGATACATACTTATATAGCAAG